CTATCTATCTATCTATCTATCTATCTATCTATCTATCTATCTATCTAATTTCAGCTGGTTTTCAACTCATTGAAATCCATCTGGGCCATCTAAGTGCAACTGATTATATAACTGCGTGTCAGCTCTAACTCGCGCGTGCACGTGCTGTCTTTGCAGTGCAGCACGCTGTAATATCATCAGAACAATAGGCGGTTCTGAATTAGTTTGAGAGCCGATGGATGGTCTGGGACGCAGACTGCGCCTTCGGGAGGGGACCCCGGCGGCCCCCAGCGCCCCCTGGCGGCTGCCCCTCCCCGGAGAGAGCTGCCATTCTAGTCACATGACGGGGGCCACAGGGAGACAGAGACAGAGACAGAGCGGATCCCTGTGTGACGTCACCTGTTCTCACCTCCCACCTTTTTCCCAACAGCGCGAACAGCGCTGCGTCCTGCGCCGTCCTGGGGACAAACGCGTGACTCCCGTGGCGCTGCTATTGTGCGTGTGCGTGACTGTGTGTATGTTAAGGCTAAAGTAGGACTTCTTTTTTTCTAATCCTGTCTATCAACTGATCCTTTTTGGCACAAAGGTATCTTATATATTCGTTTTGCGCCACTCTCCATCTTTAGGTTATTAGGGAACGTTGCTCGTAAACCTCAGTTAAACTCAACTGACACGTTTATTATTTATTTTTTAAAGCAAACAATCACATTTCCAAGTACATTAAACACTTCCATTGCATTTTTCCATCTTCTGCAGGGCAGCTGAAAGTTTAAGTGGATTCACCAAGTAGACGGACCAGTCAACAGGAAACTGATGGGCCTATGTAGGACTGGGCTAAAACAAAAAAAAGGGTCAGGCTGAGATCCTCTCACAGATATTTGCTGTGAACATAATCCAAACTGCAAAAACACATGGAAACACCAGGCAGGCAACTTGACTTGGCCTATGCAATGACTTGACATCTCCCACGAGGCCGGGCGGCTCTGAAAGGTGGACATTAGAGCCTCGGACCGATGGATAACAGAGCCGGTGGGTATGATGGGAATCAGCTCACCACCGTTCAGTTCTGTCCCTCTCAGTTAGCGTTTGTATCTTCCAGTGTGATGGATAAAGATGGAGTGAAGAGAAGACTTTTTATTTTCATGCAAACATTGACACATTTTCGAAATATTTACATCCCTGTGAAGTCCAATTTTCAGCAAGGGGACTGCAGAGCAATCTGAATTTTGTCCAATTTAAACATATAGTTCTTTCACCATAGGCATATACTAATATTTGATAATTCCAGATAATATCTTTTTGTTGATGTTTGGCTCCCTCTGTCTGTGGCCAACCCTTACTGCAAGTGGTCTGTTTTTCTAAGCCTGAGAGCTGATCACTAAAATGCCTTGTAATGGTGGATTTAAATCCATTTATTTGCTGTGCACGTGCTTCTAAATCGGTAGAGCACTGAACATTATCATGCTCTGGTTCGCAGGTAATGATGATTGACAGAACTGAAACATTTTGATTACGGAAGTGCCTATTAATTAAACCTGCTGAGGCACATCTTTTTTATGCTGTTTTATGTTGTACAGTGGTATGAATACCTGTGTTTCTCTGACCCGTCTGTAAAACAGATTGCTCAGATGGTCTTTTGTATGGCCGTTAAAATGGAAGGGGGAAGTCTTCGTTTGCTTTTTTTTCAAGGGAGAGGGGATTTTTGCTGTTTTCATCAGGGTTGCAGGCCCGGAAGGTTAGCAGATACGATGATCTCTGACCTGTCTGAAGATTGCTGGGGAATGATTCTTTCATTTTTACAGTGCACGCGCATGTCCATGTACACACGTACTTAAGAAGACTTGGCTCATGCTTTGACATAAATGAAAATATGTAGGAGCCTCAGTCCTAGCTGAAAAGAAACCCGCAGGCTCCCCAGACCTTAGACAGAGATCCAGTAGATGAAGTGGACAGAGCAAAGGCAGATTTCGCAGTATGTGAGAGAGCTTTTGTTTAAGGCTTTGGATTACACTGAGAGACAGATATTGCAGATCCCGCGTGGCACTAAAAAGATAGAAAGTAGACAAACAACTAATCACAAAGAACTCTCAGAAGTCCATGCACATTATTTATCTTAGTAACTCCTTACTGTTTGCGTTTGTGCTTCTGACCTCTGGGCCATAAAGGCATTAAAGGCCTACATTTGAGGCGTTGCCATCCATCCCATCCCCCAGTCAGACCCCTCACCTGGACAAAGCGATTCTTTTGATGTTGGAAAGAAGCTGCAGGCATGGCTCCTGGGCTAAAAAGCAGGATAAATGGTCATTTGATCCCACAGTCTCAAATGAGACCTATAAAACTGTCCTTTCTGCGTGCCTCGAAGACTGAAATAAACATATGGCACATCCAGCTGGGGTGGTTTTCCTAGTTGGGTTATCCAATAAATCAAACCAAATTCATGCATAAAGTGACTTTGTTTTAAAAGCTAAGCCGTGCAACAAATTGATTTACATACATTTATTGATTTACATTAATAACAATTACATTGTGAATGGCTTAGGATAAAAGTGTCTGCAAAATGGATAAATGGAAATGTAATAGTATTTCAAATCTTTGCTAGTTTCCAATTTATGAGTCTTGAAAGCACCAGGAAGTTGAATTCAAACCAATAAGCCACCATGTAATGTCAGATGAGTGTGACCTCACACAAGTTGTTATGTGTCAACAAATATTAAGATGTAGTCTGGTCCATGATTGAAAGAAATAAATAAATAAAACACACGACACATCATGTTACACATGACTGATTTCCTAATCACCAAGCCGACATGCAGTGTCTGAAAAAAAGCACCCCAATGTATAACATCTTGAAGAGTACCTGTAGCAAATTTGACATCAATGCATGTCTTCATGGTGTTGCTTAATGGACACTGTGGCCAAACTACTCTTATGTTTAGCTCAGCAGCAACCGTTCAAACCGGGGCCTTGCTAACATGTTGATTTATGAGAACAAAGACTTTCCTCTGGCAAGTCATCAAGGCCGGCCACGCTTGTTTGATTTTTCCAATAGTATTGTAATGAACTTTAACAGTTAACAGGCTAAGTGAGACATTTCCAGGCTGAGAGCTCTGGGCCTTTGTTGCAGCTTCCCAGTCTGACCTTTGGGTGAACTCGCTGGGGCACCCACGTCTGGGAAGAGTTGTTGTGAATATTTTCCACTTGTCAGTAACTGCTCTCGTTGTAGAACAAAGGACTCCAAGTAGTTTGGAAATAACCTGATAACCCTTTTCTCCTTAGCATTGGGCTGACAAACTCCTGAATGCTTCCAACCAGCAAACTGCCTAATTTTAATCATGTGGACCCACGAGTACTTGGTTGAGAACTTTGCTGCTGTTTATCACTTTATTTCATGCATACAGGTGTGCACACACCACCTATGGATTTTACTTTTTTTCTGGATAGATAATTAAGCATTCAATAGCGATATTATTCAAATCACAGCAAAATATCTCTCCAAATCTGGACAATTACAATTGTGACTTATTTTCATCAAGTTTTAATCCAATTATATGAAAATAATTCAAATCAAATTCCTCCAATTCATGTTAATATTTATCTTGCATGCACAAAGGAATATTTTAAGACAAATCTGATAGATTGTTTTATGCCTTTTAAAATATGACAGCAAATATAAATATGGAGGTAACAGTGAAGCTATTTGTTGGCATTGTATGAAAGAGAGTTCTTTGAAAATGTCAAAAATGTTTTCAAAGGAGCAGCACAGCTCTTTAAAGCAGTAAAAATGCTAAAAAGACATCAGATACATTCCTAAAGTCACAGGTCATTCATTTACCTATGAGAATACAAAAGTTCTGTGGTAAAAGTTTATGATCCACTACACTTGTTAAACCACGTGCACCTTAATTTAAACACACACACGTTTTCCTTTCCTTTATCTTCACCGTTTTCACACCGTTTTCACAAAATAAAGTCAACTGACTATATGTTATTTACTTTTTATCTATGCGAGGAGGAGCCGGATGTGACGTCCATCGAATTGCCCAATTACAATGCTGTTTTCACTCGGCCCAGAATAGCACATCCTAACTATTTCTAACCAATAAACACACACACTCACTGTTTTTAATTTCCTCATATTTAATCGAATGCTGGTGAGGAATTTAAATGATGGATAGTTTTCTATTGAGTAACGCGGGTTGATTTACGGCCCCTCACATAAACCCGCCAGAAAGGTCAGGCTGTCAATATCCTTCTACCCACACAAATAATAGTCAGCGATAGACTCCCGCGTTCAAAGTTAGCTTTCAAATAAAAGCATTTCATATTGTAACCGAGTGTGGGACTTTTCTTTTGAAGGACTGTAACCGGAAACGCCGTTGTTTCACAACTTCAAACTCGCACATGTGCTAATTTGTGTAGAATGCGCTGTGTATCTGCGGTCGGTCGTTAGGCACTCTGAGGTGGTCCGCCTGAGGCTTCACTGGCGGCAGTCTCCGTCTGAGAGCCACCGGGAGACTAAACTTGCATTTACCAAGCCGTGAAGCCAGATTTTAAATGTCCGTGCTAATGTAGCGGTAGCAGCTCACGAGCTCATCCGGACGGCGGCCAGTAATCCCATAAATTGAGGTGGTAAGTGATGTTAGCTCATATTAACAGCCGGCGAATGACAAGCTAACGTGTCCGACCGCCTCTCCGCATAACTGGTTAAACATCGTCGTGCATGATAATGGTCTCATGCCGGTTAGTTAATTAATAACAAGCTTGTTAGTTAACCTAGCCTCGTAAGCAAGGTCAAACTGACAAAGAATAGACTTCTACAAATAGCAAACGCGGTTAAGCAATCTGCCTGACACGAGGCTGCGTTCACTGCCTGGGAGATACTGTAATTTGTTGACTAACTCCTATCTTTCCGTTTAATATTCCCAAAGTGAAGGTGTCAGTGGTCGCCATTTCTAAAACAGAAAAATGTTGTCTGTTTATTAGGAATACATCTTGAAATAACGCAGGCGATGTAAAAGTAAAGAAAAGTGTTCCTTATTGGTTTCGACCGTGTGTTTATGTGGTTTCGCACGACAGGTCAACGGCTTAAAAAAGACAGTAGGACGTGATTTTCAGGTTTATTATCTCCTCCCTGTTATCCTCCTTAGTAACGTTCATTTCCTCCGACCACCCCAGGATGCTGACAGCCACTTGGGTGGGGCTGACGCGGGTGACAGAGGAGGGGTAGCGCTCAGGGATATATCAAACCGCGCAGGAGCGTTTTGCGGAGCATTGTGGGGCGGTTGGTCGGTCGGTCGCTGAAGCCATGACCAAGCCCGAGTCGAGGAGAGCCGGGGCGGCCGCGAGCGGAGCCCCCGCCGCCGGCAAGTGCGCCACCGCCGCCGAGCAGGTGAAAAACGGCTCCCTGGACCCCGGCGGTCCGGAGCAGAGCACGGCCCCCAAAGCCAAGATGATGAAGCAGACCTCCAGGGAGAATCTGTACCGGAGGAACGTGGAGTGTGAGGTGTACGACGACGGGACCAACACCTTTTTCTGGTGAGTAAACCCCCCTGTCTGTGTCAGTGCAGTTCTGAGCTCCCGCAGAGAGATCTATGTTTTTGTGTGTGTGTGTGTGTGTGTGTGTGTTGTCAGCAAGGTGTGTTACATGAATCAAGGTTGTCTGAAAGACAGACACAAGAGACCTATGTTGATAACACCAAAAACAATCCTTCTATATTTGTGTTCTTGATTCATACCTAGTCTGGGGAATCTCAATAAAAGGCTGAAATTTGCTTTTGACAAATGACAGCGAGGCATCAGCAAGGTTGAAGGCGTCTGTCTGCATGTGTTCTGCACCCTCACTGACGTTTGCACTTCACGTCCAGCCAATTCTGTTGACAAGGCACCGGCCTTGTTTGTGGCAGACCTGAAGTCGGGTGGGAGATATTGCGTCCTTGTTGCGACCTGTAGGGCCGAACCCGGCGTGCATTCTCTGACGCAACAACGCAAAGAGTGAGCCTGTTGATATGTGCAGATGCAGGTGTCACACGACGGCAGGCGGCTGGTCTGGAAAAGCGACATTCCCTTTCTGCAGACTTTAAAAAAAACCCTCTCTTTTACCTCAGTTCTTCAGTCTGCCTCTGTTGGGATATTTGGGCCAGAGTTAGTGCATGCGTGGGTATGTGGAGACTAATGTTACGTCTCGTCAAAGATCTCCACTCAGGATTACTTCATGATTTTTAAACAAACGTTGACCAAGTTCATGTGTAGTTCTTTGTTTCTAAATAATTGCCAAGCTGTCCAAATGACTCGGGCCTGTGAGTTTTAAATGATCGAGTGCTCTGTAAATTTTGTAGAGCAGACTTTTGGAGTCAGGGATGGCCCCGCAGCAGTATAGCGTCTGGCCATAAGGCATTCTGGGTGTTTAATAAATACACAAAAGAAGTGGGATGAGAGAGAAAAAACACACTGCTGTGGAGCTTCTTAGCTACACAGTCTAAATATATTTTTGGCTGTTGTGGTTTAAGAATAAGCATGACCTCTGCCAAATCGTCTACCAGTTCTTTGAAATGGTGGTGGCTTGAATTGGGCCAGAAAGGAACAGATTCTGCTTTTATGCAGACCTTACGGCAGCCTAGCAGTACACAGAGTGTTGCTTTCGGTTGATATCCCTCTGTGGAGCACAGCTCAGAGGCGGGGAGGTTTCGTGTGGGAGGCTCCCAAGTGTTACAGAGGTAAGAAATGTTTGGCTCACGGCGTGTTCCTTTGCTGGCCTGGGGGTTGGGGGGGCTGTATTGGATTATTTTCCCCATTTTAACATTACAGTTTACCTTTCACACCACATCAGGTTCTTTTCTGGGCCTATGTTCTAATCCGGTTCCGTTCAGACAGAAACTCCAAGCTTGTTTTTGGATGCTCAAACACAAGGACACCAGCACTGTTGGTTGTGATCTAAGTCTGCTGCTGGATGAGAAAAACCGCAGCGCCTTTTCTCCTCTGGTGTTATTTGGTTGTCAAGCAAGGGAGAAGTTAGGCCCTCCCCCCGGTCTCCTGCTCAACAGGTTAGATAAGAAGAGAAAATGTGAATGACACACTCCACCATGACTCAGATTCTAAGCTTAAGGGCTGGCAGCGTGGGTACATTCTCCACTTTGAAGGATGGCAGCAGTGACCTGCATGAGAACTGTTAACCTTTAAGTGATAACGGTAATAAGATGAATCATGTGCCATATCAGATTTTTTTTTTTAAATTCCGGCACTGTCCCCAAACGGACCGAACATGTTTCTGTTCTGTTTTTCCGAAGCCCCGCTCCTCCGAAACTGTGACTTCACGTCACAGAGTGGTGCTGGTGCAGCAGGCGGGGGTTTATCTAACGGCAGCCTGCAGGGAGACCCGCATCTGTGGGCTGACGCAAGGTCACATTGCTTCATAGGATTTTCTGATTGAAGGAGTTTGTTAGAACAAATCACAGACGGCACGTTTAACAAAAATAGTGTCAGTTGCTGGGCTGGAGAGCATTTTGTCAGCAGTTGTTTTCCTTTGGCTGATTTTCAGCACAGCTCTTGTACCTTCTTAAGTAGCCAGTTGAAACCAGACTCCATCAAACACACAAAAAAAGTCCCCCGAACTGAAGAAAATTGACTAAAAGCAAATGTTGCTCTAATTTAACTGTTTTTCCATACAAGGACATTTAGTCTCCTCAGCCAAAACTAGAATACAGGTGCTGTGTTGTGAGCATTCATTATATAATGGAATGCTTTTTTCAGCAATTTTTCTGAGAGTTCCATGGATTTCTTTTTGTCTTTTAGACAAAAACTAATTTTTTTAAGCCTCCTAAGACTTTGCTTTTCACAAAGGACAACTTGGCAAATAATGTGTTTTCTGGCACCATAGAGCATTTAATCATCACCTTTGAGTACAGGATTTGTTTAACTATGTTGATAAATATGTCACAGAGGGCATGGATCTACTGGCTATCTAACAGATTCCATGTGATTAGAGGTCAAAGTGTAGTTGCTATTGGAAGCTGATGGGGGTTATCAGGCCAAAGTACCCGTCATGGCCTTCAAACCCAAGTTCACTCTGGGTATTAGTGTGCGATATATTACCTGATAAAAGGGGCTTCTCAGTCCTGTCAACATGAAGCTGACAAAAGCTACTGTTTTAACTGTAAGATCATTTTGTTGCACTTCCCATTTTTACATCCAATTTCTGCTGTCTTCATCTGTCCTCCTAACAGAAATCTGTTTCAACACACCACAGTTATCATTTCTCCATACTCGGCCGGCTTTGTTAAACATCTCTGGGTAACAGTGGCCTACCTGGTCTTGGCGCAGAGTTTTCCTCATCTCTCTCTCCCACAATGACCTTGGAAAACATAATCATCTTAGTTTCCTTTGACTTTGTGTGACTCCTCGCCTCCCGCAGCACTCATGTTTCTGCCCATCTGCTCTCCTCCTTGGCAGGCGGGCCCACACGGTGACGGTGCTCTTCATCCTCACATGCGCTCTGGTCTACGTCACCCTATTGGAGGAGACTCCTCAGGACACGGCGTACAACACTAAAAGGTTAGCCGTCTACGTTTGTCCCACAGACTCACATCATCCATTGGAGCCTTTTGACGGAACTGGTATGTTTTTGGTCAATAGGCCAGTGGATGGAGTGTTGATTTTGTCTAAATGTTCAGTGAGTTTTCATGATTCCACAGCTTTTGCTGTCAGCTGGGCTTCACATGGCAGCCTTTTAAAAAGAATAAGAAAAACATGTCCATCTCCATACAATCTTATCATAATTAGAAATGACAAGTTCTCATTCTTTTAGAAGAGAAAACAGGACTTTCAGATGGACAACAGAAACAGGGCTGATTGCCAAACGATTGGTGCAGTTTCTGTTTTTTGGGGGTTTCTTTTGTGCCAACGCCAGCCCTGCCACTGTAACATTAGTGTTCACTCCCTGAAGTACTTCCACCAGAGGAAGGTTGGGAGCAAAATAAAGAAAACCCTCTCGCATTTCTAACTGTGTGTGACATGATGTTAAGGAGTGTCCTAAAACCCTTTTCACGCCGAGAGGCAGGTTTTAATCACACTCCTCAGAGCACCACAGCTTCTTATGTCTATCGGCCTTTTACTTCCATTTGCCCGTATGCCATAGTGGCTACGTGTTGAGGAGGCTGATTGGGAAAGCCGAGGGAAGCCGAGCCGTTCCGAGGACGTGCGTGTGAGGCAGTGTGTGCGACTCACAGTTGTGGTCGGGTGTGTTAGCCAGAGATTGAGGAAGGCTCTTAACAGGATTTGCTGCAGTCAGCAAAGTCGGGCTGGTCAGGATAAAGACCTTAGAGCTTCTCCCTGGTGGCTGAATGCACTCAGTTGCACACATAATCAGAATTTTGCTCACACTCTTGTACACACTCATTAGTGTGTATACATGTGCTGTTTGTTGGTAAGTTCAGTCCAGGGTCCTTGTCTGGTCTCCTTGTCGTAAGATCTTAACACGACACTGATGGCGGGCAGCAAGGCTTCGATTAGCCCCGTGTTTTTGTGAGTTCAGAACAAAATGTAATACAGTATGAATTGAGGGGCAGCAGCTGGCCAGATCTCCTGATCTGACTTGGATGAAACACCATGACATTCTTGCTTCAGCTCGGGCTTTTTTTTCTTTACCTGTAGGAGTGTATGTTTTTTTTAAGGTACTAATGTCTTAAAAATAATGGAATTTGTACTTAAATACGTTTGTATTGTTTGTGACCGTGTGCCCACAGAGGCATCGTGGCCAGCATCCTGGTGTTTCTCTGTTTCGGGGTGACACAAGCCAAAGATGGACCCTTCACCAGACCACACCCAGGTATGAAAAGCCCTTCATCACCCAAAATGATAAGTCGCATTTGTGATGCAAAATTATATACATAGTTTGCATTTCCGCTTGTAAGATGAGTCTAACAGAGTGATTGCATCTGTTTAAAAAGCTTAAAAGGATCCTGCCTACAACTACAGTACTGATAGTACCTTCTTTTTTCAGCTATCATTGCTAGCTGTAGTGTACATTTAGCATGCTATTATCAACAGAACCCCATGTGTTTACTCTAACTCCATAAGGTGGTATTGATTTTTTACTCAGTTCTTCCCTGAGCCTAAGAACCTACAATAACTTCTGTCAATAGCAACATTAGAGGATCACCTCTTAGGCTCTTATATGAAACAGAAATCCTCTGTAGGTGGCTCGGTGAATGGAATGATCAAATTAAAAGGAGACGTGTAGAAGAACGTCCACTGCTGTTGAAAATAAGTGGAGTGTGTTGATGTTCAGAGCAAGATTAGTGTAAGCAAACCTTGAGGGCAACCCAGTGTTGCCTTATCGTGTTGCATTTGAAATGATACAGTTAACCATGATCTTAACTAAGCCAAACACAAACTCTTGTGTTTGTTTTCTCTCACTGCCTACCCACAACACTCCTGTGCCCGCTCTGCTTCAATAAGCCTGCACACAAACTGTTGTCCAACTCAGCAGCTGCTGTTGTAACAGCTCGTGTTGTGCTGAGAAGCTGACAAGACATATTTCTTTTAGTGAAGTTCCAAAATGATTTTAGAGTTAAATTTTATCCAAGGTCAGGAAAAGGGGATTACATTCTCTTTTAAAAGCACGGGTAGTGGTGTAAGGGTAACATAAGCTGCTCTCATACTTGCGTTGAGGATGAGCAACAGTTATTTTTCTGTTCCTCATCCTTTCCTCAGACATGCCTGGAAAAAAGGGGAGGGGAAGAATTCTGCGGCACATGTGATATTTGCCATTCGTGGCAGATTTCCGGTTTCTCACAATGGCATGTGACATTTCCACAATGACTGTCTTTACTTTGTAACGTTTGGAGTTGTGTAAGACACAGGAGTGGAGACAGCACTGTGTGCTCTTCAGGCGTTACAGGTTTCTCATGAAAACCTGCCGATTTGTCATAAACTGTTTAATTTATTTTGTTTGTTGACAATTGAAATATAAAGATATATGTATAGTTATTATATATTATTTAATACTTTTCCAGATGTGAAGACAAGGAGTTATTAGTCAGGCTGCAAAGCTGTGTGGAGGAAAGTTTGGCCAGTGCTGCTTTTTAATTTATTTCGTTATGTATCCTGGAATTATCTGTATAGACTCACTTTTTTTTAAACTCCCTTTGCGCTGGAGTTCACCTACTTGACGCAACGTAAGAAATGCCACCATTAAAAGGCGCTTTGCGCTTACAAGAGATGCTCGTCTGGGTTTTTATCCAGAGCGTTTATGCTGGAGACACACCTAATCCCTCATACAATAACTAACGGCAGAGGGGAGGAAGGAAGGAGGTACTGAGGGAATTTAACAAGGCGTTTGGGGGGGTGGATGCGCTCTCATAAGGAGTGCTGGCTGTTGCCACTCCTGCTTTACCTGTGCGGCGTTGCCCCGGTGATTTTACAGGATAGAAGACAATGGCACCGAGTTTCTGTCTGTTTATACAGGCTGACTGGATCAAACTCTCCGACCTGTTCAGCGAGTCTTGTGGGTCTGGTGGGTTTTTTTTCTTTCTCCACCTCGTTGCACATCAGTAGGCTCCACAGATTTGTATCCTGGGGAGAAAAAACGTCCCAGAAGAATGTTCAGATTGGCAACCCACAACTCCTGCAGAATGTCAGTTTTGGAGAGCCAAACCACACAATAATTCATCCAGAACATCACTTTAATGTGGGCTCTTTTTCATTGTTAGCCTGCGATAAATTTAGAAGATTTATATTCAATTCAGGGTTTTTTGTAATGGCAACATCAGACGACCAGAGTGTTATCTTTTGGCACTTTATAAACACAGTTCAAGCCAATTAGAATCCAATTCATTGTTTTACAATCAAAATCTAACCAGTCCAAGTTAATTGAACTCCAAATGCATCCAGTTCATACAGTCATTAAAAAAGAAAATCTAGTTTAGACGATCGTACTCAATCATTCTTCTCCCCGCATGAGGTGACTGTAGGAAGAAAACACTCTGACACAGAGGCCATCATCCCTCCACCAGCTCAAAATATTATAAGAAACTGAGTATTTATCCATCTGATGCTCAGACCATAGACAGGCTAGAAGAACAAAATGTAGAATTGTCTTTCATGTAAAAGAGTGAGCTCTTGTCTTTCTGTTCCCGTAGCCTACTGGAGGTTCTGGCTGTGTGTGACGGTCGTCTACGAACTCTTTCTCATCTTCATCCTGTTTCAGGTACGTGCTGATGCTGTCTGGTAGAGCTGCGCAGTTCTCTTTGGCCTATTCAGATTTGAAAGTCCTGACCTCAAAGTTCTTTGTGTGGAAGAATTCCAGTTGAGCAATATTTAGTAAACTAAAACAAAACACTGGAATTTCTTGTGCCTTTTTCTCCTTTGATGGAAGTGAATTTCCCCATTTTGTTCTCCCTCAAATTAAATTAAACTTACTAAGATACCACAGGTTTGAGATCCCAAAGCATTCTATCAATTAGAAGCCTATTCTGATGCCAGACTAAAGATAAAGGAATACTTCTGTTCAATGGGAGGGGCCGCTCCCTCATTTTTTATGTTGCTCCTTAACAACTTGCTTGATACACAGACGGTGCACGACGGACGGCAGTTCATGAAGTACATCGACCCCAAATTAGGGGTGCCCCTCCCTGAGCGAGATTATGGAGGAAACTGCCTCATGTACGACCCTGGAAACACTACAGACCCCTTCCATAACATCTGGGTAGGAGGATACATTTTTGTACCACCTGAGTGGGTCAGTGGGCTGCCCAGGCTGTGTGTGGGGTGGGGGGGTTCACATGGGCACCACAGTGCAGAGGGCAAGGGGCTGGATTCGGCCAGCATGTGGGGTTCTTAAAGACCAGTGTCATGTGGTCACACAGCCCTTGTCTCGTGACTGAGTTGAAATGGGGAAGCTGGAAAGATGGCACGGAGGATCGATGAGCCACTTTAATAAGGATTAAATGGTGTCAGTTGCGAATGGTTTTGTGAATAAACACACTCTAGATGCACCGTAAAGGGCAGGGTAAAACGGTTTAGATGGGTGTTTATTAACGTAATCATGCCGCTGCCTACCAGAAGCTGTAGGAGTCGAACAGGGCCCTATGTCTCGTATATAAACACGTGGTGTTCATATCGGTTTTTGTCAGATTATTTCTGAAAGGTTATTGTGACACATTAGCAGGTTTGACTTTAGAGTTCTCACAGCCTGTGCACCACAGATGCTTTATAGGATGTTAAAGTAGTAAAACTGTCAGAGGGTGCCTCGCTGCCGTCATGCTCAGTTACATCAGATCACTGCGTCATTTAGCAGCCTGTTTAGAACAGGTCATATGTGTCTGAATGTAGTTCTCAACCATCACAGCTGTGCGTTTTCATCCTCAACCATTATTATTCTGACCTTTCAGCTCAAAGCACTAGTTTAAGACTTGGTTCCTGCTATTGGCACATTAAATGCGGATCAGGTATGTTGAAGCGGGCAAACATCTAGAACTGGCAGGACAGCGGCCCTCGAGGAGCGGAGTTTGACACCCCTGACGTAGACAGATCAGCATGTTTGGGTCATAGGGGACTCTTAGTGCCACTGAGGCCTTTCTAGTGTCTGTGTGCTATGTATGTCATAGCAGGGCAGGTTTGTCCATATAGACTGCAGATAAACTTTTTGATAAACATTTGTTTTTCTTAACAGGACAAGATGGATGGCTTTGTGCCAGCTCATTTCCTGGGGTGGTACATTAAGGTGGGTACAGCAAACGCGTTGCCACAGACAAACCTGAACAGAATTCTACACAGACTGAATGAACGCTGCTACGGTCTCACAGCAGCTATAAAACTGCGCTTTAAGTCGAATAATTTTCAGTCCTACACACTTAACATGACTGTCTGGCCCTGTTATTATGCTGACCTCCTCCCATTTCTGCACTGTTCCCAGACTCTGATGATTCGTGACTGGTGGATGTGTATGATAATCAGTGTCATGTTTGAGTTCCTGGAATACAGCCTGGAGCATCAGTTACCCAACTTCTCAGAGTGCTGGTGGGATCATGTGAGTACAATTATTCCTGTTCACACCCACAGACGGCAGCAGGACGCTCAGATTAAGAATTAACAGTACCGTTTAAGAACGAAGGGAAGATCCGCTACGGAGTGTATCCCATTGTTTGTGTTTTGACTTTGCTACAAGTCCCCTTTGTCCCACTTTGTCTGCTGTAAAATACGCATTTTGACACATTTGGAATATAGTATTATCTAAAGTCTTAATCAAGCCCTCTTTTCTTAATGTTTTGCTCCCAAGGGGCCAGACTTTCTTGTGGTCTTTTAATGTTCTCTTCTGTTTGGTCTGCAAGTTGTATTTTGTGGATATTTGCCCCTTTTGAAGTGTCTTTTTGTCCAGTCATTCATCCGTTTTTGACAAACCATTCTTTGGGAGGGGGCGATTGGTAGTAAAGGCTGAGAAAAGCTGTTAAACTGGACACTGACACTGGACTGAAAATCACTGGGAACAGGTTACCTATTGAGAGTAACAGGTATCATAAAACATAACAGGCAGAAATAAAGTTTTCGCCTGTTATTCAGTTTAATTAAATTCAATTGTATCTATATAGCTCCAAATCACAACAATAGTTATCTCGCAGCACTTTCCAAACAGAGCAGGTCAGACCCTACTCTAAAGTTATTTACAAAGCCCAACAATGATATTTCCTTTTATGTTTGCACGAATTGCTAAAGCACTGAAGATATTTCCTGTTTTCCTGGAAATATGCAGGGGATTGAGTCTGTGCGCAGTGCTGAAAACAGCTCTCTAAGCAAAAGGTTAGGCTGTCTCAAAGGGCATGCGCACACACACACAAACAGAGAGGAGAGCTCAGCTCTTTTTTCCCTTTAGTATGCTAAACCGTCCCTCATAGAGCACAGCAGACCAGACAGAAGAGTGAGGGAGACGTGTGTCCAGCTTGATCTGCTCACTCCCACCTGATCCTCCCAGAATGTCTAATCCTTTGCGTGGGTGGATTTACAGCCACATAGGACCTCAGTCGCCCTTTTAATCGAACCCATGTCCCCATACAGTGGATCATGGACGTGTTGGTGTGCAACGGTCTGGGCATCTACTGTGGGATGAAGACGCTGGCGTGGCTGTCGATGAAGCCGTATCAGTGGCAGGGCCTCTGGAACATTCACTCCTACAAGTAGGACTCTAATTATGCAGAGAAAAGGAGTAGAGATTTTACACGGCCTGTTTGTTTAAAAAACTAAAACAAATTTCTTTGGCTTGACTAGCCAAAGAAGGTGTACGTTTTTCTGTAATGGATAACCTCCGCCCTCCGGCCCACAGGGGGAAGATAAAGCGCATAGCATTCCAGTTTACTCCGTACAGCTGGGTGAAGTTTGAGTGGAGGCCAGCTTCAAACCTCCGCCGCTGGGTGGCTGTGCTGGGCATCATCTTCACAGTAAGACGCTCACGCCACCGGGGTGTGTGCATTAGGAAGGGACGGTGAGTTGAATTTGATTTAATTTGATTTTTTTTCTCTCCCATCAGTTCCTCCTGGCCGAGCTGAACACCTTCTACCTGAAGTTTGTGCTGTGGATGCCCCCCGAGCACTACCTGGTGCTGCTCCGCCTGGTGTTTTTTGTCAACGTCGGGGGCGTGGCCATGCGGGAGATCTACGACTTCATGGAGGACCCGTGAGTCGTCAGGCAGCCGAAGCCCTGCCGGGGTTGTTATATATTTTTTTAACGACCGCATTGTTTAACTTTCCAACAGGAAGTTCCACAAGAAGCTGGGCCAGCAGGCGTGGCTGGTGGCGGCCATCACAGTGACGGAGTTTTTAATCGTGGTCAAGTACGACCCCAACACCATCATGCTGCCCATCCCTTTCTTCGTCATGCAGTGCTGGTTCTTTGGAATCTTCCTCATACTGATCTGGACCCTCTGGCGATTCTTTATCCGGTAAGAAGTTCCGTTTCCAGCTGTTGAGATTGGCCAAGCCCCAACGCGTTTTAGTCAAAGCATGTTCCGATTTATTTAAAAAAAAAAAAAAAAAGCATTATGATATAAATACCAAGAAAATAGATGAGTAAAATCACAATTCTGGCCAGATGTTAACATTTGTGGTCCACTGAATCTTTGGGAGGCCAGAGATCCCAGACCTGTACGCTTAACTTTAAAAACTCCTTCTCTGCACACACCAAATGTTAGTAGGGTAAAAGAAAGGCTTCATACATGCTTTTATTCTCCATCTTCTCTCCTCTCCTCCTTCCATCCCTCACATCTCCTCCTGCTCATGCTCAGCAGTTAGGAGTTAGTTTACCCAGAGAGGTAGGTATAGGAGAGCATACGTTTCCCACTTCACTCCATCTCTAGAGCAGCTTTTCTTCTTCTCTTGCAATTCACCTCTTTATAGTCGTCGGGGGATCTTTTGATCCTGGAGACGGTGCACACCCACTCCTCATGTCTCCATGTCCTGCCTGGCACCTGACGCCTGAATGCATTCTCCTCGTTTCCCTTCGCGGCTTTTTTTATTTGTTTTTTTTGGTCAGAGATTTTAGTAGAGGAAATCCTCTGCAGGAGAATGAAACCCACATCCCGGAGAGCTGTTGGCACACACAGACACACACCCACTGATGGTGCATTAGGCAGCATGTTGTCTCCTTCAGCCCCCCCCATTACACAGTCAGCGCGTCAAAGGCTTTAAAGCACGATGGGTGCTTTAAAACGACGTGAAACCGCTAAGGTCAGGATGTGGGGTAGCCAGTCCGTGTGCAGGGAAAATGTTTTGTATGCTCCCAGAACCAGGGGGAAAAAAACTTGTTCAGCGGACACTATATTTAGGCCGACGGCATTCCTGAACCTGGACTTGACAAATAGAGGCAGCCCCAGGTTAGGGTTAGTTAAATCTGTTTGATTCCTTATGATTTGATACAGCAGGTCAAATTCCAAAGGCAGAGCTTAGAATGTGAAAGACATGAGAGTAACAGGAATGCTTCATATCTTTAAGAGAACAGATGATGATTGCATCTATCAAATGTAAATTCTGATAAATCGGAATGTAAACCAGTCCGGCGACGTGTTCCTCAGGCTGATTTTTATCTAATAATAGTCCACCTCTTTTTTTCTTTTTCTCCCCCCCCCCCTTCGTTTTCCCCACAGTGACATCACGCTGCGCTACAAAGAGACCCGCCGGCGTAAGCAGGAGGCGCCCATCGAGTGGGAGCGCCCTCTGGGCAACGGCTTCACGGCGGCGCCGTCCGGCCGGAGCAAGCTGAACGGCAGCTCTGAGACGCTGCGGCAGAGGAAGTCCTGAGGAACGACCCCCCCCCCCCCTCCGCTGAAGGGGAGGAACCAGGTTTCACCGGGGAGGGGAAAAGGGCGGGAAGACGTAGAGATGGACGCTCCATCGCTGTGTAGATTTGTTCTGGTGTACATGAACTGAGTGGGCCGGGGGGGGGGGCAGGGGAGTTTTCACCTGATGATTTACCTCATTCTAGATTCTTCTTCTTTTTTTTTAAGAAACACATGAAAAGTTTCTTTTTTTTCCTGTTATTTATGTTTTGAATGTTGGGTGAGGATGAAAAAAACAAATTTCAACCATATAAAGGCGGGACGACGGGCTCTCCACCAAGAATCAAAAGATTTCCCCATTTCTCAGCTGCACTTTATCCAAAAATAGACAGAACACGCTGAAACTAAACGGATCCGCCGCTGTAGATCGGGTTATTTTTGGCTCCGTTAACGACCCGGCGCGTTTGGGTTCAGTTGTTGGAGCACGAGGAACGTGCGCTTCAGCACATGGTTTACAGTTCAGCACCGAGGGAAAACCAGCCAAAGCCCTTTCTTTTTCTTTCTTTATTTTTTGTTCCTCCCCTCAGCTTGTTCCTATAAAAAGGAGTTTGTAAAAAAAAACAAAAAAACAAATGTACAGTATAGTTGTTATTTAACTGGTGGGATGCAGTCAGGTTTTTTTTTTAATGTTACATCACTCTGGTTTGCTTAGGAGAATTCTGGAGAATAATAAGGAGAATACTAAGGTGGATACGAACACTAAATTGTGCTGGAGGTTTTTTTTTTTCTTTGGTGAAGCACCGCAGCTCTCTAAAGAACTCATCCTCGACAATCACACTGACAGGAAGCTAAGCGGCCAAACAACACAGGTCCGCCCCCCCCCCCACAGCGGCATAAAGAATTGGGCCCGGTTCTGTTTTGGGGAACAGAATCGGCTCCTTTCAGTTCTGTTCAGCCAAAGCCACCAACACCCAGCTCCTTTCAACACGCCGCCCAGCGTTCAGAAGAGGACCGAAAGACCATAAATTCCCTCACCAAGCTACAGACTATCAGTGTCTTTACATCCGGATTCCAGAAGGAAGGATCGTCAGCACAGAGCTGTCATTCATCCAATAATGAATAAGCAACTTTCTTCTTGATTATTCCAACATGGTGTAACTGTTCCGGCTGTGAATTTGATGCTTTTATGTGGGAGTAAATCAAATGTTCTGAAAACACTTGGACTAATAGAACACTGAATATGAATGTCAAATATTTTATTCAACCAACGACGACGTAAAGAAATAGATTAGTTAAGATATTATCCAGCAAAGGTAACCTGTTATTTACAACTCTAGTTCAGTGTTTGGAAACATTTTGTTGTAAGACCAAAAAAAAAACAAAAAAGCTTTAAATCCTAAAAAAAACCCAATTATGTTAACATCATGCTGAACAACTGCTACCAAAAAAACTTTTGCCTTTGTCCTGTGGCTGTCAGCGGTCATCTGTACGAGGAAAAACGCGAAAAAAATCTGTGTTGCTCGTGGTGACTTTGTGTTTTGTTGCTGATTAGAGGAGAGTAGATATCTGTGAATGTAATCCAACAGTCTGTGGTTAACACGGGAGGGTTTGGTCAGCTAGGATTTAATTTTTGCCAAACACTAAATACCATTTGTTTTTACTACAGCCTATTCTCACACAAGTCCAACCGTTTGTCTCAGAATTGACACAATTGTCAGAATATCTCATCGTGTATTTCTCATCCTGTGCCGATTTGGTTTTGCTCCCTCGTCTTTCCAGGCTCCAGCTTAGATCGGTTGTTTTTTGTTTTGTTGATTTGGTTAAAAGTGACTATTTCATTTGCACACCAGCTATGTTTTCTTAAAGGAACAAGTAGGAATAAACCTAAAGAAAGAGCTTTTAGATTAATCTGATGTTTGGGATTTCTTTGCAGTTCAGATTATGGACACGTGGGGGCGGTGTATACAGGTTTTTTTTTTTTTGGGGGGGGTTGTGTTTTTCAGCCATGTGCAGTCATGATCGACAGCTTGCTGTACAGAATATGCCATTTTCAACCTGGTTTATGTAAATGTGAACATGTTACAGATGAAAATGCTGCTGCTCCACATAATTTTATAACTTTTTCAATAAAAAAAACCCTAAATTTGGATTCTGTGTTTGCTTGGTCATTATATAAGGGACTAATGAGGAATGCGGTTTGAAAATGTGAAATAACGCTGGTTTCTTTGTATTTTGCACTGTATTTTTAAGATGAGAAATGAATTAACATAAATTCAGCTTGTCTGGAGAAGGAATGAATTCTTTTAAACTGAGAATTCCCCCACATGCCAAACACCTGCTTTCTGTGTGGATGGAGTGTGCGTTGGAATGCAGTCACGAAAAACAAACAAGCGCTTTGTCTTGATTTGAGACCGAACAAAGAATCAAAGATTAAGCAACGACTTTCACTTTTATTGCATAGAGGAAACATATCTTAAACTGATTGTGATTAACTTGCATAGCACAGTAAACTAGAATGAGCCCCAGGAAGTAGACGGAGCCCCCTGAGGCTGATATTGTCTCGGCCTGTAGGGTGGTCACAGTCTGAAGCAGCTGGGGGCCAACTGAGAGATTCTACCCCTAACTAAAGGGAATAAAAAAGTTAAAGCATTAGAGTACAAACGCGCACGTGAAACGTTTCACGGCCTAAACTGCGAGTGGAAACAGACACCCAAAGCATACAAGAGGAATCATTTCATCAAAACATCGTTAAAAGAGCGGCTGCTTAGGAAATATTTCATGCCTGAGAAACGAGAATGTGCTGCAGCCTCTTTGGTTTATGGTTAAAAAAAGTGGATTATTTGGTGATTTTAAGTTCTTTGTTTTTTTTAAAAAGGCATCAAGGTGAGAGTTGGATCTAAAAGGGACAAAGTTCAAATGTGCAAAACTGTGCTCTGTTGCATCTTAATCTTCTCTCTCGGTCAGGGAGCGAGAAAAACCTCCTTCAACTCCAATCAAACATTTCCAAAGAATGAAAACTGGCATTGAAAAAAACAAAACAATTTTTTTTTTACATCTTATTCATCTCGAAGTAACCGATTCTGGTTGGTGACAAACCAGTAGCTGCCTCAGTTTCAGGGTACAAAATAGAAAGATCGGTGTATAAAATAAAACAACAAAAGGTCCCGAGTGCTTGTGCCTCTACGAGCGCACCAGTTTGAAGCCCTGCCCGGTGTCCAGGACGGCCGGCGGGAACCAGTTGAGCTTGACCCTGCGGAGGCAGCGCAGGCAGAAGCCGCAGAGCCCCAGCAGCTGCAGGCCCCCGCCCCACAGCGCCAGCTGCACCAGCGGGTAGGTGGGCCGGGGGAAGTGCAGGCTCCAGTGGCCGGTGGCGTCGCTGCCCGTGGGCAGGTGCAGCGTGTAGTCGCTCCAGTGCCTGGACACGCCGTAGTCGGCCGCCACCGCCCGGCCCCCGCCGGACCACCGCGCGCCGCCGTCGGTGCAGTTGTACTCCACCCACTGGGAGGTGAAGTCCCCCAGCTGCGGGGGGGGGTCCCCCGGCCGCCCGGCGCCCAGCGTGGCGCCCTGCACGGCCACGTGGACGCCCTCGGCCCGCCGCACCGCCCGCACCCAGGGCTGCGAGTGGTGGCAGTCCAGCAGCAGCACCAGGCGGGACGAGAAGCCGCCGTTCTTCTCCCGCCACCAGTCCAGCAGCTGCTCCAGCCGCAGGACGTCTCCGCCTGCGGACGCAAAAACATGGCGGGCTTAAACAGAACCCTTCACCCGGGTGACCACGAGTGGACTCCGGGGCCCCGCCCACCCACCCACCTGCCAGCGCCCACTCCCCGCTGCGGTGCGTGTGGCCGCTGTAGTAGATGACGTAGGTGTCGTGGCGCGGGCCGTCGGCCGTGCGCAGCTCCAGGAAGGCCTTGATCTTGGCCTGCAGCGCGTCCAGCGCCAGGCCGCCGGTGGAGTAGTCGCAGCCGAAGTTCTGGATCAGGTGGTGCGCGAAGAAGCGCTGCACGTCGCTCAGCATGGCGGTGGAGCGGCGGTTCAGCTCCTGCACCTGGCCCGGGGGCAGCAGCGTGGGCTGGCCGTCGGGGCTGGTGGGGGGAGAGGGGAGAGCAAACGGACCCTTGTTTACGTCACATTGCGACGCCTCGGGATGGGGGGGAAGGATGGCCGACTCCTACCTGCAGTAGTTGGTGGGGACCACCACGGCGTAGCCCACGCTGGTGCCGCCCAGGCTGTTGCCCAGCTCGTAGAAGAGCCCGTGGAACAGCGCCTCCAGGGGCAGGACCAGCAGGAAGGTGCTGATGAAGAGGCCGCTGGACGCCTGCGGAGGGGTCAGCGGCACATTAAGCACCACAACCGCAGAGCACGGTTTGTCGTTTCTTTTTCATTATGGACAAATACATTTGTTTGAGTCAAAAACAAATGGCGGTTTGCCCTACCTGCCAGCACAGAGCGGCCACGGCGGCGGTGGACAGCAGGCTGAAGGTGACCAGCCGCTGGGCGATGAGGCAGAAGTGCCTCATGCCCCTGGAGGCCATGACTTTGTCCAGGCCGCTGTCCTCCGGGCCCTGGTGCAGGCTCAGCCTCTGGCAGTCGCTCAGCTTGGTGTGGAAGCCCCACGCGGTGATGAGGAACACCGTGTGGCACACGGCCCAGAAGAGCGCGCACGCGACGAAGCCCGGGACCAGCACGTACCAGGGGTCGGCGCGCGCCAGCTTCCGCGCGGCCAGCCCAAAGAAGGCCGCCTCCGCGCCCAGCAGGGGCAGCAGGGACAGCCGGCGCCACAGGGCCCGCCACAGCAGGAAGGGCCGCCAGCGCTCCGTCACGGACAGCCCGCTGAAGTAGCAGTCCAGCAGGGGGTCGCAAAGAAGCTGGCTGAAGAAACACGACAGCGCGAAGGGGTTGGCGGCAAAGCTCAGGGATTTGAAAAACAGCTCGCCGGTGACCACCGCGAAGAGGGCCAGGCCGGGGAGCGCGAGCAGAGCCTTCACCCGGAGGCAGACCATGACGGCGGCCAGCGCCACCACCAGCACCGTCACGCTCAGCGACTCCTGGAGCAGCAGGGCCGCGCTGGCCGCCGCGAAGCCGGCCAGCTCCAGCCGCTCCGCCGAGGTGAGGACGGCGGGGCGGTACCGGGCGCAGCCCAGGAGCCGCTCCAGGAAGGCCCAGAACGTCCGCAGGGCCACGCTGGCCAGCAGCAGGTAGTCGGTCGCCCGCTCCTTGACGTCGCTCTCCGGGTCGGGGGAGGGGAGGAAGCAGAGGAGCCCCAGCAGGAAGCCGAACCACAGGTGGAGGAGGCTGAGGCTGAGGCGCTCCATGTCGAAGTAGTAGTACAGCACGCTCGCCACGGCCAGGACGACCAGAGCGAGGACTAAAATGACGAGGAGAGCGGACTCCTCCGTGCGTTCCCACCGCACGTAGAGACCCAAACAGAGAGCCACGAGGAGGTTCAGACCCGACAGGTAGCCGAGCCACCGCACGGAGGACCACATACTCACCTCCCCGTTGACCTCCTCGAGCCGGGTCATTGCCGCGTGGAGACAGTGGCTGATACAGTATCGGAAAAAACGACACATTTTTTCTGTGAACCTAGCAAAGCCTTAAAACCGGCGGCTTAGTGCATTTAGAGTCTGTTATCTACACGTTACGACATTTAAAATCCCGCGAGACGCAAACTTCACTTCAGATAGCAGACTTGTGAGAAGTAGCTAGCTCGGCTAAGACTTAGATTCTCATCTCCGCGTCTTGGCGCCGGTCAGCGCTACCACTCCCAATAATTTACATCCCCGTCCCGTGTCCGATGGTGAAACGTTTCCCGAGAGAACTGCGTGAGTGAAAAAGCTATCACTGGCGTGAGAAACATAGTAGTTCAAAAACTTTGTCGCACCAAAACTTTCGCCGAATGACAGCCGCCATGATTTTTCTTTAACTACGGCACATGACGAGGGCCAAAAATAATTCAAGACGCGGAGGTCCAGGAAATAGTATGGATTATTTTTGTACTGAATTGTATTAGATTTGACAGGTGTAAATTGTGAATATATAACAAAGTAGATTGAATCTTAACGTCAGTACAGTTTACTAATTGTTTTAGAAAACCATTATGTGCTCCGTTACTATTTTGAAGAGCTAAGCAGTAGCTGTTGAGGTCAAACGTCCTCAGTGTTTGCTGCATGTTGGTGCTTAATTTTGGCAACACCAGAGAAAAATGTGCAGTTGGCAAGGCTTATGGGGAAAAACAGAAACCTGAAAGTTCATGATGAGGGACAAATTTTATTTCAAATCAAGTAATTGGGATGTAAGATGTCACAAAATTCCTTGAAATCGAGTTGACCTGGCGTATTTCCGGGTCTCCTCGGATTTAGGAGATCTGGTGTGTGAGATTGATTTCTAGCTGTTGCATCGACACTTGGTCAGCAGTGCCCACTTTGTGCTTGGAATGAAAGGACAGTATTTCAGGCTGATCATTCAGCGAATGCGGACACGAACAGAACCCCCCTCAATGTGGGCAAAAAGGACACTCCAGAATGTTTAAGATTAGTGTAAGAACTACCAGTTACTATTTACTGACGGTGTCCATGTATGATGCATTTTGCACAGCTTGACTAAATATAATGAACATAACCAACGGGCAACATATTAAAAAAAAGACTAATCAGTCTGTGACCTATTCACCTCCGTGATCACAGAACCCTCATAAGACCACACGCTGCACATGCAGCTATATTTAAAACATTCAAAAGTAAACACACAAACACAAATCTTACATTTACATTCATTTATAAAAGAGAAATGCAACCATCCTAGAAGCACACATTGTTCTGCATTATTGAAAATGATAATGAAGATGAATCATGCAAACTTCAAAAAGAAAACACTGGAAGACAAATCACAAAACACATTCTTTTAAAGCCTGAATGTTCTGTTTTTTTTTCTCTTTTTTTAAAGATCTGAAACTGATATGGGAATGAAAACAATACATAGCAATGCACCAGCAATAAAACGTTTCCTCCTTTTGATACGATAAAAGGAGAACTGGACTGTTTTTGTGCAGTTTGGCCCAAGAAACCTAACATCTGTTTATCAAAATGGTCTGACTAAATTTCTCCAGGGGCAAGATAAATATGAGCAAGGCACCTTATACTTATTGGTATGATTTATGGGCTGCACTGAGACCCTGGGGAGAATAGTTGCATTTTCTGAGACAGCCTTTGGAGTCAATTTTCAAAATGTCATTGACAAAGAGAACAAACACGCAAGTTCACTCCTTGCATTCACACTCACAAACCAAGGTTTCACCTGATAGTGTCTTTAGCTAAAACTTCCCGGTGTGTCACACACAGTATCCTCACGTCTGTCTTCGCCGGCTGTTGCAAAAAACAATAACCGTAAATTAGTGCAAATCCCTTCAGTTGTGGTGACGATTTAGACAGCAGGGAACTGGTGTTTGGAAGTGGAAAATGTTTTTAAAAATAAGGGGAGGAAGGGGGCGGGGACACACCTGATGTTCTCAAATCCTTTCACCATGTCACTGACTTGCAATGTTATGATGCTACTATCCATCTATTCGAGGTTTAAAAAAAAAAAACGACAAAACCAAAGCTGGATTGTAAATCTAACTCCTAAGTTGATCTCAGTGAGGACGATTATTAGAAGAGCTTAAAACATACCTACTTTGCACTCGTACCGCATTACAGGACAAGTAAACAGTCACATTTTCACATTAGTAAACCTAATAACACTCCTACTGTATGATACTGAAAGTGATTAAAATGCTACAAATACCACTTTATTGGAAAAAGATACTATCCCAGTCACTCGGAGGATGTCGAGTTAAAACGGCATTGCCACACTTTACACTGGACAACGCCACCGTTTGACTAAGAATATATAGATATATTTCCAAAAACAACTCACTTTATTATTATCTTTTTTTTTGTTGCTCCTTTTGTCTTGGAAAACTAAATGCACGTGAAGGGTTTTCAGAAAGTCTAGCTGTGTGACTGTGACCGGAGAAGCAAGCGCTGCCGGTCCAGTGGCTCCGTCTCAGTCTCTCCAGTGCAACGAAACTCTCACCAGACTGCTCGGGTTGCTGTGTTTGGCCTTTGTACTGCGCAACCTGCGACGCTAGCTTATTCAAACAGAGACCGAGTTACAGGACGCAGACGAGCCCACTCGTACTTTTAAAATCTTTTTGGAGAGAGCGGGGGATTGGGGAGGGCTTTAAAAACACGGGGCGAGGGGGGTTGAGTGTGTGTGTGATATCAGTGGCGCGTCAAATTTCCATCTCTTAAAAAAATGTCTAGCTATTTTATCAAAATATATCCATCTTAGTGTCAGTGTGTGTGTGTGTGCGTGTCCATGAGAGTGTGTAGTTTCAGGAGAGTCTGGCTATGAGAAATAATCTGTAAACTTCTCTCTTTCGCACTGTGCAAACTGCATTTTTTTTTTGTTTTTGTTTTGGACTCGAGGGGGCAGGAGAGGGAGAAGAATGCAGCGGGTTCAAATTTTGGCAGCGCAGCAGAAGAGGGGGAGGAGACGGTTGGCCAGAGGAAGGCTGACTGGGTGGAGGGAGGGAGGGAGGGATGGAGGGATGATAGGTGCTGGTTTACTCTTAACTCTGGAGCAGAATGGGATCCTCCAGCTCTTGGAAGCCCGGGACGGAGCTGCTCTGGCTCTCCCCGGAGTCGGAGTCGTACGGGGTGTCGGGCAGCTCGCCGAAGCCCCAGGCCAGCTGGTCGTCCTCCAAGTCGGAGCGCGCCTGGGCCTGCAGGTCGGCGCCGTCCTCCTCCTCGTTGGAGTTGAAGTCCTGAGGGATGTAGAGCATCTCGGGGTAGTTGCGCGACACCAGGTCGCTGCTGGTGGCCAGGGACACCTTGCGGAAGGCGATGAGGTGCATGTGGGAGTACTTGACGTACTTGTAGCGCTTGAAGCCCAGCGACTCCACCGCCACCCGCCAGCTGCGCATCATCAGCGCGTGGCGGTTCTGGTGGGAGGAGTCGGGCGTGATGATGAGCAGCAGGCCGTGCAGCTCCAGCAGCTCGTGGGCCTTCTTGCAGCAGATCCAGCGCTGGTAGGGCGAGGGGAAGTAGGACAGCAGAAGGGAGAAGACCACCACGTGGAACAGCTGCGCCGGCAGCGCGTCGATGGGGTTGTGGAGCTGGCGGAGGAAGGCGTCCACCGCGTCGCCCGCCAGCTGGAGGGGCTGCTGGAGCTGGAGGTTGAGGAAGTCACACTTGTAGACGCTCTGGAAAAAGCCAGTGAAACAGGGGGACTTCAACACCGGTAACTACCGTACCACTGCACTGGCTCTGTTTCAGAACTCCCTGCAGAACGCAAACACTGGTTTTGTTTTTGCTTTTGACTGACTTTGTGCACACAGGCCGACACACTCACACCCGTGTGACTCATTTCTGGTGTCGATTGTGGTTTCTATTACAAGCAACCGGGCAAGAAAAAATATCACGCGTCTTATTTACATGAACAAGTACAAAAAACAAAAACAGATTTTCTGCTAAAGCTGACAACAACAGAGAAGTACTGGCACCTCCACTGCAGGCACTATGTCGATACCAACGGTGAGGAACTCGTCAAACTTCAAGAAAGGGTTGAAGCAGCTGCCCACGTCGAGAAGGCGAATTTTCCCCAGATGAGAGATCGAGCTGTTGCAAAAAAAACAAAAAAAGATGAGGATCATACAGTCAGAAAAGAGGGAAAATCAGCACCTGATTAGAAGCAACATATTAGATTTCTGTTTGCAAATTCCTTAAACCGTGTAAGAAAACCAACAAAAAGAAAATGA